CTTTAAAAAGAGTAGTGACAAATCCTATGTACGTAATCTACGTTTCTGAATACGTGCTGCGGCATACCCAAAACAAAGCCTGTATACCATCCTTATTTCATATGGCTTAGGACAATGCATCAAAGTATGTGGGTTCACATATGCAGAAAACATAATACTTCAAGTCGAAGGATAGTTACACCTGTGGTCGCGCTAAAGATGCTTAGAGCATGAACTAAAAGTTCAAGCAACATCTTTAGGATGGGTCAATCCGGCATCCTATTATCTCCAAATAATATCTGCCCATGTGCGGATGCGAACACACTGTCATTGACTATGAGACTAAGTCAAACATCCAACACACACTAGTCTCACATGCATTAACGATATCCCACTCTCGTTGATACTCGACTATGGACATTCAGATAAATATTTCTTTCAAGATGTTAGTCTCATCAGCAGAATAACACTATCTGATAAACATCTTTAAATAGAAATCTAGGAATATAATATTCGTTTACATTAGCATGAGATGTGTAAACATATTATATATGCCTATACATGATAGGATAACGATGAACAGTTGGCCATCAGGGCACAACTCCAACAATCTCCCACTTGCACTATGGCCAATCTGGCATCGGTCGAATGCCCATGGACCTAGTGTGACCCTCATGCTTTAGCTTTCCTAAAGGCTTGGTCAAGGGATCGACTATGTTGTCGTCAGTATCTACTTTGCAAATCATCACATCTCCTCTATCTACGATTTCTCGTATGATGTGATAGCATCGTACAATGTGTTTGGTTTTCTGGTGAGATTGCGGTTCCTTTGCCTGTGCAATGGCCCCAGTGTTGTCGCAAAACAACGAGATAGGGTCATTAATACTAGGAACCACTCCAAGTTCAGTAATGAACTTTTTGATCCACACAGCTTCTTTTGCTGCCTCGGCAGCAGCTATGTACTCAGCCTCTGTAGTCGAATCGGCGGTTGTATCCTCCTTGAATCTTTTCCAACTAAAAGTTCCGCCATTCAAGCAAAACAAATATCCTGCTTGTGATTTTGAATCGTCTCTGTCGGTTTGGAAGCTAGCGTCAGTGTAACCGACCACCTTTAGCTCTTCCTCACCGCCGTATACCAGGAATGCATCCTTAGTATTGCGAAGATACTTGAAGATGTTCTTGACCGCTGTCCAGTGTGCTTCTCCTGTACGTCCCTGGTATCTGCTGGTCACGCTTAAAGCGAATGAGACATCAGGTCTAGTACATATCATGGCGTACATGATGGATCCAATCGCAGAGGCGTATGGAACCTTCATCATGAGTTCCTTTTGCTCGGGAGTAGAAGGACTCTGGATCTTGGAAAGAACCGTGCCAGGTGTCATAGGTAAAGATCCTTTCTTTGAGTTAGACATGCTAAATCTATCAAGGATTTTATCTTTATATGTACTTTGATTCAGACCTATTAACTTTCTTGATCTATCTCGGTAAATTCTTATGCCAATGACATAATTAGCATCCCCTAAGTCTTCATGGAGAAGTTCTCGCTCAACCACGTCTTTACAGAAGTGAGAGCGGGAATATCGCTACCCATTAACAATATGTCATCGACATATAAGATTAGGAATACTATTACACTCCCACTGACCTTCTTGTATACACAAGATTCGTCAGAGTTCTTCTCGAAACCAAAACTGGAAATGGTTTCATCGAAACGTATATACCAACTCCGAGATGCTTATTTCAATCCGTAGATTGAACGTTGCAGTTTACAAACTTTGGCAGACTGACCAGCAATTTGAAAATCGTCACGTTGTGTCATGAAGACATCCTCTTTGAGGTTCCCGTTAAGAAAAGCCGTCTTGACGTCCATCTGCCAAATTTCATAATCGTAATAGGCTGCAATCGCAATCATTATCCGAATGGATTTCAGCATAACAACTGGAGAAAAGGTTTCATCATAGTCAATTTCGTGGATTTTTCTATAACCTTTTGCTACCAATCTAGCTTTGAAGGTATGAACCTTCCCGTCTACGTCTGTGTTCTTTTTGAAGACTCACTTGCATCCAATGGGTTTTACCCCTTCGGGCGCATCAACCAAGGTCCAGAATTGGTTTGTGTACATAGACTCCATTTCAGATTTCATGGCTTCGAGCCATAGATCAGATTCGAGGCATGTAATTGCCTCGAGGTAGGTCTCTGGTTCGCCTTGATCTACCAGCAAGACGTCACCTTCATCGGACATGAGAAATCCATATCTGACCGGAGGATTACGTATCCGGTCTGACCTACGTGGTATATCTTGAGCAGTTTGAGGTTCAATTGCTTGATCTCTTTGCTCAGGTTCCAATACTATCGTGACTTCTTCTTGTGGTTCTCGAATTTCTTCGAGGTCTACCTTTCTCCCACTAGTGATAGCAGAAAGAAACTGCTTCTCAAGGAAGGTTCCATTCCGAGCAACGAAGATTTTGTTATCGGATGGATGATAGAACTCATACCCTCTAGTTTCCTTGGGGTATCCCACAAAAATTACTTTATCAGATTTAGGCTCCAACTTACTAGACGTCATGAGACATTTTACATAAGCTTCACAGCCCCAAATCTTAAAGTACGAGAAGCTCGGTTTCTCCCACGCCATAGTTTGTATGGTGTGTTCTCGACATCTTTAGATGGAACTCTGTTGAGTGTGTATGCTGCTGTTTTCAATGCATATCCCCAAAATGATTCTGGCAATGTTGTCAGACTAATCATGCTTCGTGCATGCTATTGGACTAGAGTGATTTGTTTGCCAGTGGGCCTCATAACATGGGAAACACTTCCTTGGTTGGAGTATTTCAAAATGTAATGAAATTAATGGGCCCCACCACTCTATTATGACTTCCACATGCCTTCCCTCTTCCCCATTCCTTCCTCTACGTAAAGTTTTCCCTTTCTCTCTTTCCTTTTTTTTTGGATTCTTCTTCTTTGTTTCTTTTCTCCCCCCCCCCCCCTCTTTTTTGACAGCTTCCCACTTGTTGCACCTTTGTATCCTTCCTCTTGGAAAGAATTAAGGTGTGGTATCCATAGAGANGTGCAAATTAATTTCAGCAGCGGATGAGCCATAAAACCAGCACGAGAGGGGTGCATCAACAGTTTTGGTGGCGGTTTTCAAAGGCGACATTAATACATTTGAGAAGCAATTGGTTCCACCGATGTCTTGACAACCCCAATCTTAGCGGATCGAAATTTTCGGGGCAGCAAGCAAGGGCGGGGGGACATATTCGACCCACACCAATAGGCCACGACGACTATAGGTGGTCACCTTCTTCTCCCATTTTAATAGAAGTGACAAGTCCATTGTTTTCGAGGCGGTTGTGGTCCACTACTGCGGCAGCCACAACGAAGGTGGGAGCAGATGATCTTACCGGCGTAGGTGCTGGCGAATACAGAAAAAAATCCTCTACATGCGGCACTTTGTTTCTGGTGGGGAACCCCATGGACGACGGTGCGAAAGTAGCGGCGATTTGGATGGTGGTGGGCTAGAAGCTAGAATCTTCCAGGCGGAGACACGCCAGCGGCGGTAGCAAATCCAGATATCTTCCCTCTCTCTCCTACGACGTTTGTTATGTCTGGTGCAGCGGCCGAACTAAATAAGGTGGTGGGTGAGGAAATCGATTTCCTCTGTTTTTTACTGGGGTTCCTAATCCTCCAAATGACCAAATCTTCTTTTTCTCCATTTTGGTTTGTGCTAACAAACAAAAAGAGAGAATTGAAAAATCATGAACTTTTTGCTTGGCCCCAAAGATGGCACCAAAATGATGGTGTAAATTATCGACCGGTATATCGTTTTTAGCCAGACAAAAACGGTAAACTAGTCTAAAAAATACACCAAAATATAAACACAGGAATTTTGACGTGGAAACCCAAACCGGGAGAAAACCACGGGCCTTTTTTGGCGGTACCTTGCCAACGGGGAATTTTTTTAATATCAGGGGTTGTACACGGTACATGATTTGGGCTTGGAAGCCATTAATGAAAGCTTGAAGCTTCTTGGAAGAAATAAAATACATAATATCTAGAGAGAAAGAGCAATGGGCAGGAGTAAGAAGATGAATTAGCCCCCTCAACATTAAGGGCAACACTCTCTTTTATAGGAATGAGTGAGAGCATCTATGGAAGAATATTCTCTTATTGCTCCATTTTATTAAGCAGGCCCAGTTTGACTGGTTTTCGTAAATAGTTGGGAAATGTGGGCCGAGCCACATATTATTTCCCATCACCATGAATAACTAAAACATTTCTTGATACTCTAAAATATATTCAACCGTGGGAGGTGTATGTATACTTTTAGGTATTAAAAAGGGTAGCTCTTTTGAAATGTTAAAATACTAAAAACTCTCCAATGCCACAACCGTATTACTCCTTGAAGAGTGTGTATTTGTATTGAGCCAATAAATATGACATGTATTAAAAGTCAAGATTCATTGAAGATTTCAAAAGATTTCTTGATTTATTAAAAAGTATATGCAATTAATTCCTATATCTTCTCAATGAAATCTTACAGAATTTAATGCATGTAAGCCCAAGAATGACTTAAACATACTATACTTTGTTGATAACGTGTACTGTTCTATTGAACGTGTACAGTTCTATTTTATTATGCTATAGTTTTTTACAGGTTAAGACATTTATTTTTTACAGTTATATTCAGGCTATTTTTGACATGTTTACATTTTTTTACTTCATATAGCATTGTATGAATTTACTGAACACATGTGCCTAAGTTTGAATGTATGTCTATAGTGTAGAAATATATTAAGGACATTACGTCATATAACGATTTTTTTATTAAACAAAACTTGAAGTGTAGATAAGAGGGACCAATGCCTTTTAATAGTGAAAACTTGCTTGAGTTCGAAGATAGTTGAATAAAATATAGGAACTAATAAGAATAGGGCCCTCGGGCAATGTTTAACATGAATAAAAAACAAAAAAAACAAAAACATCATGTCATACACCAACAATTCAAAAACATAGGGCCCTTCATCCATTACGTTGCTTTATTTGTTTCCATCGCTCTTATACAATCACTTTTCCAAACCCTCCCTCTTGACCTTCTTCATGCGAGTTGTGGTCGATAACTCATCAAGGAGCTGCCGCTTGATCGGATCCCCGCTCTCAATTGCATCGATCTTCCGGAAGGAAGTGGCCTCAGTTTGGCTTGAACATGGGTTATTTGAACCGATCTACGATAAAAAAGAGAATATTAAGTAAAGAAATTGACTTGAATTAATTCTCATGTTAATATATTGAAAAGAGAATTAGAGACCACTTCTCCAACTTTCTGGCTTAGGCCCTCTAGGGAGTTCCACAAATCATCAGCCCCATCTTCAACAGTTTCTTCAAAAACATTTTCGACCAAATGTTCATATTTCTTGAGAATTCTCAGATCCGTAATGAAAGATCGAACACCAAAACTCCTAGGGCCCATCCAGTGTGGACTCCCACCTTCAGACTTCAAGACAACATTGAACAAACCTTTCTGGCCGATTAAATGATTCAACTCCGTGGGGAACAAATTAGGGTCCATCTTTCTCTGTTAGGCAAGAATTATAATGAATTAGTTCAAAAGACTACCAAGTAAGCAATTACATAAGAAAATGAATTCATATTCGGTTCTACAAACCTCAAGCATAAGCTTTCTAAGGAGGAATGCACTTGCACCTAAAATCTCATTGCACTCCATATCGCAAAGATTGAAAGAGGCGTGGCCAGTGGCGTCAAAAACATGAACATTCACCTTATACTTATTCGTTATAGTTAAAACAAACGTTAGATCGTGAAAAATTATGTTTAAAGTTTAATTTTTTATGGAATTGAATTTTTAAAATATAACGTACTTATACACTCCATGGGCCATCATGAGATAACATCTGGAACATTTGAACTGAGAATGGTCTGGTATAACCTTCTTATTGCCGTCAGTGCACCCCAAATAACACCAATCTGGTGTATTCTCAATAGAAGAAATCTCGGCAAGAATATAGTAAGCTCCATGCTTTTTTTTAGGCAAAAATTTAGAAATTAGATTTGAAATGAATTGAAGGGACAAAATATTAAATATTTAAAATTTCAAACTCTAAATTTCACCTTTGTTGTGTCAAGACTCAAGAAGAGTCTTTAGGGGGTGATTTTCACAGGACCAATATCATCTTCATTCTCCCCAAGTAACATCAAAGTGGTGGAAACACTAACATCATCAACTTGCATCAGTAAGCTGTTCGAAAATAACCGTATGAGTACATTCCTCCCAAAAAAGACATAAAGAAACTTTAGATTAGAAAACGCACCTAGCTCGGAAATGATTAACTTCATCAAAGTTTCCATTGAAAATCATATTCGTGACATGAAATGAGCTTGAAACTGTCACAACATCTGAAAAAAACTAATTTAATTTTTTTCCGAATTGTTCTATGCAAGATTATAAATAAAGAAATGAATAGTATAAGAAACACGCTTTAAGATTTTCATCTTACCCCTGTACCGCTTGGGGCGACAAAAGCTTAGGAGCAAAATAAAAGGTCCCGGAACATTCTAGGTCAAACAATTTAGAAACTTTTCGACATATTCACCCCATAAGGTGCATGCCAAACGGTTGCCTCTGCAATTTTTCTTTCACTATCATATTATTTTTTCAAATAGTTAATCTTATGTAGTTTCTTTATAAATAAATTTTCATACACATGATCCTCAAGTGTTAACTTCATTAATGTTGAAACACGGGTTTATCACGTTTTCGTACTAAAGCCATGTTCGTTTTTATGACAGGTTTTGATAATGCCAAACCACCGTGAACAAGATAAAGTGTTGAATATACAAGGCGAAAAATGAAGATAAGAACAAGAGCTAAAAGAGACCAAGAGCGAAGATCGTAGTTTTAGTGTCATTGAGTCGGTCACAAATGTGATCAAGACCGACCCAAGCCTTGCACTTTGGCTCTTTAGGCTAAAACCTTTTTATTGCATTTCACATATCATCAAAATGATTTTCAAACATGTTTAAACATATTAAAAACACTTGGTGTTCGCCCAAACCAAAAACCAAGCCATCCGGCGTTTTGCTTTCGAAAACCAGCATTCGGTTTTCAGAAACCGGCATTCGACATTCGGTTATCGGTGTTGGTTTTTGACATCTGAACCAACCAAGTGGTTTTCAACATTTTATGATTGGTTTTTACTGCTAGGCACTTTTAAATAGTTCTCCAACAAAAACACTTCAAAAACCACCTCTCGTTTTTGGTCGTTTGGCAAAAACCATGCGAAACGGCATAAACTTGGCTAGCCATTGTTTTTACCTTAATGAAGTGGTTTTTAAGTTTATATACTTGGTTTCTACATAAAATACATTAAATAACTGTTTTAAACACTTAGTTTTTACTTTGGGGAACTTTGCATTTTTCGGTCGGGTTTCAGCGCCGCTCGGCTAGGCCATGGTTTTGGACTAGCCATCTACCCAGCGATGGTAGATATCCCCCATCCATGGGTAAGTGATCTTGGGATTCCAGAACCATTCCACCCAGCGATGGGAGATATTACCCATCCATGGGTAAGTGATCCCGGATTCCAGGACAATGCCACCTAGCGATGGGAGATATTACCATCCATGGGTAAGTGACTTCCCAGCGATTGGAGGATATTACCCATCCATGGGAAGGCATGACCTTTGTAAGGCATTTAAGGTTGATTCTTTCCTTGTTTGAAAGTCAACCTCCAACCCAGCAATGGGAAGTGTTTACCTATCGATGGGTAGGTGACCGTTGCCTTTAAAACTGAAGGAAAATTGGCTTACCGGTGATGGGTAGCTCCATACATCGCTGGGAAAGCCAATCTCCTGCAGATCCATATTTTAATATCAATCCCACAAATCATGCCAATCACCCCTTTAATGCCTTGATCCATTGGAGCCTATTTTGGCACTATAAAAAGGGGTGTTTGGGTCTGCATTACACAACCAATTCACTTCACATTATTCATATTCTCATTGCATTCAAACAACATCTTTTTACATAGCTTTTTAGAGCCAATTTGTGTGAAGTTTGAGTTGTTCTTGAGTGTACATATTTTACTCAATATCCACTCTAAAAGAGAGTATTTGTTCTTGAGTGTTTTAGTGTTGTATACACGTTAAGGGAAGCTTGTTTCCCTTGGTTGTATGAAGGAAATGTATTTTTCCTTCGGGTTGAAATCTTGGAGTGCGGTATCTCCAAGCAAGTGTATTGAGGCTCGCGGGACTCGAGTTCTCAGGTTGTAACGGTTTGTTAAGCACCCGTAAGCTTAACGGAAGTAGTGTATCTCGAGAGAGTATCTCGGGAGACTGGACTAGCCACACGTTGTGGTGAACCAGTATAAATCTTGGTGTGTTCCCTTTACTCCTTTTTATTCCGCTCTTTATTTTATCCCTGCGATTTTTATTCCGTGAAAATTTATAAACATTTTCGTGCCTCACTATTCACCCCCCTCTAGTGAAGGGCACTTATTCTAACAATTAATTTCTCTTCTCTACCTCTTTGGATGTGTGTTTGAACTTTCGAACACCCCACAATTTTTACAATCACATCTGCAACGTTTGGATAAGTTAAACTTTTTATTTTATACTCACTGTATGTCAAACTTTAAAACCGTACTTGTTAAAATCACTTTAAAAAAAATGTATTTAACGATGAGAAGTTGATCGTTTAAACAGGGTTGTGCTTGAATGCTCGAAAAAGATTTCAAATCATACTTCATTTTGGGAAAGTCTCTTTTGCTCAAAGTTTTCACTTCTGTCTTGGTGTAAAACACCAACAAAGATTTATGAGAGGTTGTCTTGCATAATTGGTAATTGTCATGAACAAAAACATTTCGAATCGCAAAGACACCGTCTTCCACAATTTGGTTTTCAAATTTCTTCTTTTTGAGTTTTTTAAGATGAGCATGAATCATTGTTCCCTGTGAGAAACGATAAGAATTAGAGAAATGAAAATAATTAGAAACGATGATTAGAAGTACGTGAATATTTCAAAATAGAATTGGAAAGAAGAAAATACATGTTCGTCATGGAAGATGACTTCCATGGAATCGTCTCCCTTCGCCCACGCCGGAACGTGGTAAACGCGTATAGCCCGCAATTTTAGGATCCATGTCGTGCGACTATTATCAATTTTGTCAAGAGAATTCCACATCACACTTTGTGTTGTTTTGGACATCCTTACACTTTAGACCGTGCAAATGAAGTTCTTTGACCGTGCAAGGTGAAGAGGTATAAATACCGTCTCATAAATCAAACTCAACTAATGCATTAAATACCCTCCTACTTTAAAGATTTCTAAAATCTATTATTTTAATTTGGAAGAGACATAAAGGTATTGATTTTCATTGAATTGACATATTGAAAAAGAGAGTTTAAGTTACCAAGAAAAATGATCATTTTGGGAGTGTAAAGCATGCAACCACTTCCCATGAAAGGTGCTCACGTTATTCAATAAAGTTTGCAATTTAAATGGAGTTCTTTTCGGCCCAGGGACAGCAACCCAATATTAAAGAACCGGCACATTACTTTATGGCGGGAACACTGTAGAAATTCTCCTCACACAATTGTATAGATAGAGATGGATAAGGATACTGTATATAATTTCAAAAACAATTGTGTATGTAATTTTGTAATATACGAATCGTAAGTATCAAGATTTTCTTGCTATTTTGAAAATATTTTTATTTAATTAATCGTATGTATAAATACTATTTGCGTAAAAAATGCATGTCTAAAATTAAATTTGAAATTACTATTATGAAAACAAACACTCCTTTCCTAACCATGTGTGAGATGACTTAAAGAAATTTCGAGCACGAAATTTCATTAAGGGGGAAGAAATGTAACGCCTTGAAAACCGGTCTAGGAATTTTTAACCTTTTTTAATACAAAATAAATTTTAAAAAAAAGATTTACAATTTATGTATGAAAACAATGTTCCTTAAGAAGATGTCACTAATCTTAATTTAAAAATAAAAAAATTGGTATTCAAGGTTTAATGATTAAATTATTCCAGGGGATGAGTAAAAGAAATAAAATAAGTTTTGGTTCTCTAATATCTGAATAATATTATTTTTTCAGGTGAGCTTGTTTTTCTTGAAAAACAAACTATATTAAAATAATGTGTGAGAAATATGAAACTTAACAGCATAAATTTTATATTTTTCTAAAAATATTTGGCAACTGAAAGTGTGGAAATTGGACATGTACTTAACCAACGGAGGAGGAAAAAACCTTTTGTTTTCCTTTCCCTTCTTACGCCAAGGGTTTGAAACCTTTCCCCATACATTGGACATCATTTAAGGAAGATAATAATTTGGGTAAATATTTAATTACATAATATATTTAAAAAAAAGCAATCATCCATTTCCCCTCCCCCCTCACCTATAAGGCCTTGGGTGATTAGTTTTAGGCACTTCATTTTGTGAGGGTGCGTGGAGGGCAACGAAGTGTAATAGCAAGGAGGTGCTTCCCGAAGTTCTGTTCGATTACCGTTTTGTTAACGACATCCAAGGTGTGTCGTTGACCCTAACCTTTAGATATATGTTGTTCATATATTTTTGTGCATTTTAATTTTATTTTACAATATGAGTGTATACATTTTTATTTAAAAAATAAACTATGTATGTAAACATTTGTATATAAAAATGCATGAGTAAGTTATGAAGAATAAAACAAATACAAAAAAAACACAATGGATAGTTTATAAAATTACAAATTATAGGTAACATCCTTAAGTGAAATTGTGAACACATTAAGATGTAAACTTCTTTATATATATACATTTATAGAGAAAAAAATTGAGAAATAAACATAGCTAACCAACGAATCAAATTTATAATGGGGTATTATGTTCCTTTAATAGGACCAGACACATGAGTAAATGAATAGATGAATAAATAATTAATGGTAGCAAATTGTGTCCTCCTAGATTTGATGAATGTTTGAGATGTTAAGTAAGAAAAATTAAATGTATGGATTGTTACACTTGATTATTTTGACACAAAAGGGTACGGAAATGTTTAAATGTGTTTGAAATGATTTCTGTTTGAAGACATCGAAAGTGATTTTTTAAATGACTATACTAGGATTAACCACATATTTAGAGGACAAAGAAAAATGTCTCTTTAAAGACGTACCCTGACCAGGTATTGTCACGTTTCACAAATTGGGTCAAACCACACGTTAAAAGGCCGGATCGTATGCGTCCAAGTGGATGAGCCTACAAATAGTTATACCGCACGAGAATCTGACGATGACCCCGTGATCTAGGGTTCACTTCTGATTGCTGGACTCGAGGTCACACGGAGGTATCCGAAGTAAAACTACGTATCGACTAGTGCAGGGTTCCAGTCTAGTCACGATTTAGTCTCTAATCTGTGGTTAACCTAGTGGGTCAAGAGTTTTCTAAATGTCCCCAAGTAACTATTCCAAGTGAGATTATTTCCTTAATGATTTTTAATTATGTGAAAAGCTTTTAAAACTTGAATAACTTTAAATGCCAAAATATATATTTACATGTATATATGTCTACTGGTTATTTGACACTCAACTTTATGCTGAGCGTGTAGTGTTTAAATGCATGCAGGTACTAGTAAGGGAAACAACTGCTGAGTAGGATTAAATCAATTAAATCAATTTTGACTCTGTCAATGTCAAACACCCAAAAATACGATGTCAAAAAAATATTACAAATAAATATAAAAATTATGTCGTTGGATATATATGTGTGTGTGTGTGTGTGGTGTGTACACTTTAAAATTTAATTTTTATATAAATATGTTTATCTTAACAATATTGACCATAGTACGTTACATTATTTTTCTTTAATTTTCAAATAAATGCTAACAAAAAATCTTATACCCTCCGTCCAAAAGTTAAAAAATGCTATATGTATAAAACATACACATTCAAATTTATTTTTTCATTGAGTCTATCTGACGTCCACATTAGATAATAATACTCATATTACAAAAATAATTACTCCGTATTATATATCAACAAAGTATAGAAATTAAATAATCAAAAATGATAAAAAAAATTTTAAAAATAAAATATTAAATATTTTGCACAATAGAGACCAAACCAGACTTTGACTAGTCCTAACTGGATTATCCTTTGTAAAAAAGTCCCTGTTTTTTCATGAAAATCAGACCAATTTAGATCGATTTAAAAAGATATGAAATCAATCTTGTTCGGAATAATACAGTAGTAACTACTTTGATCTTTTGACGCAAATCTCTAAAGAAAAAAAGTCACGAGTACACTAAATTTGTATCACAATTTACACACAATGTGTATCAAAATCACATACAATTGCATAAATGTTTGATGCACACTTACTCCCTCCGTCCTTGAGTATTTGTCCACTTTTGACTTTTTTTTGTTCAAAATTGGTAAATTTTGAACTCAAATTAAATAAAAATGATATTTGATATTGATACAAAAATAGTTTATTAGATTTATTATATCAAATATTTTTAAAATATTATTTTATCTAATTAATATATAATATATATATTATTTAACCTCTTGGTTCTCATGACATTGGGAACTAATGTCATGGGATGACCCGGGGCGCTTCGGTGCCCGTTCGTAAAATTGACGGTTCCAACCCCTCCTAACCTCCCCGGTAAACCCTCCCACCCCCCGACCCGAACACACCCCCCACCCCCTTCAATTGCACCCCACAAGTCGATTTTGACTTTGGAGTCAAATCTTGACTCCAAAGTCAAAATCGACTTGTGGGGTGCAATTGAAGGGGGTGGGGGTGTGTGTTCGGGTCGGGGCAGGGGTTTAACGGGGGTTAGGGGTAGGAACCGTCAATTTTATGAACGGGGCACCGGAGCGCCCCGGGTCATCCCACGACATTAGTTCCCAATGTCATGGGAATCTTCCCCATTATTTAATTATAAATTAAAAGTTAAAAATAATTCATCGAAAAAAGTCAAAACTGGACAAATACTTAAAGAGTCGGGTGGTACATAAGAAAAAGAAGTTGAGATGCACCTTGGTCTACCCTTCCGGCCGGCTCTTCAATGTTTTCCAAACATTCTACATCATCCTAGAGACCCCATGGAATCTCGCGCATTTTCCATTCCCACCTAAAATAAGCACACCCTCATCCCAAGATTATTATCAATGGCCTCTGTAATTCACTGTACCCTTTCTCTTTCAAGCCGGAGTCCCGCATCATCATCTCCAGTTTTAGCTTCAGCCCCTGTTATCCCACCCCATCTTACATTATTTTCCTCCGACGATTTAAAGCTGAAAAGCCACCCTATCAGAAGAAGCTTCGTACGCAGTCATGGTGTTGATGAAGTCACATTCATAGATCCCCTCGGAAATAGAGAATCAATAGCTGACCATATTGGGTCTTTGAAGCTCAAGCTCTTGGTATAAAAAATCTTAGCTCTATTATTGATTTTGAAGATCCCTACTAGTTTTACCTTTCTCCTTATATTATTGTTCATTTGTTCTGGCTGGAATTACTCCCTATGAATTACTTTGGATTATATTTATTAGGAATCAAATTTTTTCATATGTTGTTTGGTAAATTGAATGCGATCAGCTTTCAATTTCTGTTCTTGTATTATCAAATGTGCACATGCTCTTTGACCCAGAACCCATCAAATTATTTCTTGTTAAGAAAAGTGAAACACTAGGAGAATGAAATTAGATCTGTCGGTGAACTGAAATCTGTTAGAAACTGTTATCTTTCCACGATTCCTTAAGCTTTGTTAAGTACAATAAAGCAATGGAAAATCTTGTTCTTCAATTTCCATACCTTGTTCATGAAACATGATCGCCTCAGGATTTCTAGAGCTCTCCCGCTAAAACGATGCAGAATTAGGTAATTAAGAAAGTATGCTCACAGGAGAGTTTTTTTTGTTGAAATGTTGGATTTGTATAAATGAATAGTACTGAAAAGTGAAAATGAAGGCGATAGTGGTTGGGATTCGCATACCTCTAACATGCAATGGTTTTTTTTCCTTCAAAAGTTTTAAGTCTCCATTGATCACTTGAAGGGGGATATACAATGGTTGTGTACCACACCAGAAAATGAATTGAGTTAGTCCTATTGAGGCAAGTAGGAAACATGTGCTGTATACTTGTATGTGAGTGAGGTGATGGCTTTACTCTTAAGTCATCCTTCATTGATAAAGTATATAAGACTTTGTGCTACTCGTAATGGCTTATCTTATAGGCATGGTTTCTGAAGGCTTTCGACACTTCGTTTCTCATATTCCAAAGGAGTTTACTCTTCATGAGTCATGAGGCACATGATGGTTATGCCTCTAATATTATGCAAAAAAGATCCATCTTTCATGGAAAAATTGTTTATTCTCAGGCAGTAGAGCTCAATAAGACATTCTTTTCTTTAACGATTTTGGACAGGCTAGGTAAGAAAACAACAACAAACCCAGTAAAATCCCACAAAAGTATGATGAATTAGGTAAGATTTTTAAAAAAGCTTAACTTAACCAAAGCCATAGTATTTTGGTTGTTTTTCTACTCAATTGCTTCCTTTTGTTCTCTGCTCTCCTCTTGCTCTACTTGATTGCTTGTTTTCTTATCTACTCAAATTTAAGTTTTAAGTACCACCCAACTATCTTCGCTACTCATCTTATTGTCCATCTTTGCTTTTGTTCAAAATAGTTGACTTAAAAATTTAATTACTTTTATAAATTTAAGACTCATGCAATAACTTTATTCAGTGAATTATATGAATGCTTTTGAGTACTCCATCTGTCCCTATATAATCTTCTCAGTTTAATTTTGCATGAATTTTAAAAAAATGTATATTTATTGTTGAGATTTATTTAGAAAGGGAAAAATCAATATCACTCACACAATTATTTCTTTAAAATAAAATAGGAAGACTACTAATGTATGATCTGCAAAGTAAATTAGGGTGATTAAAAGGGGATAGGGAAATAATATATATTCTACCTATGATGCTCACACCTCGACTTGCCTTGAGATTTACACCTCATGAGGCTAACGTAAAAGGAAAATGTTATTTTTACTGCAGTGATGATACCATAGTTGACACCACCAGTGTCTTACTGAGAGTCACACACAGACTGTCATTGTTTGAGACACAATGGTGGTGTTAACTTTGGTGTCATTCATGAGGTTACTGTAGCATAACTCAAAGTAAAATGCCTTGAAGCCCATTTATGTTTTCTTTTTAACCTTGGTTTTTGGAAGGAACTTCAAGTTTTAATATTTACATTGTGGACGGCAAAGTTTCCATCATCCCGATGGAGCCAAAATTTCACCATTTTTGGCTTTGGGGTGTGATGGAATAAATCAAAATGGATCTCTAAACTGTCTGCGCTTCTTTAATTAATGAAGTAGCAGTTAGTCAAGCAATGCAACTTTCGACGTTGAGCCGGGGGTCTCTTTGGAAACAGCCTCTCTACTTTCGAGTAGGGGCAAGGTCTGCGTACACACACCCTCCCCAGACCCTACTCTTGTGGGATTTAACTGGGTTGTTGTTGTTGTTGTTGTTGTGGAGGGCAAAGTTCCAGAATTGAAAGAGAGGGATAGTGGCTGATTTGGTGTTCATAAGATTAAACATTTGATTTTTCAAATCATGTTTCCTCAAACTGCCATGCTCAGATTATTAGAGAGAAACACATAAAACAAAAATTAAGGAATTTGCCTAAATTGATTCTGAGCTGAGAGAATTTCCAAATCTTATGGTTTATGCAAGAGGATGATGGATTGGAATCTATATCTGCGTTTACGCTTTTTGATGGATCTCCTAATCTAGTCATATATAAAAATTAGAATTGGTTATTAAGGATCTACTATAATCATGGATTGCGCCACCTGAAATCTTCATTATCATGTATCTCTTTGCTATAACTCCTTGCACAGAAAATGCCTTGTAACACGCGAAGTTGGAACTTTATAAGACTTGCATAGCGAGAAAACTACGAGGGATTTCTTTCAAACCATACCAATAGACACCGAAGAAAACTTTTTGGGATCCATAATGGGTTTGCTTGGGAAGAATGTATCCAGTTAGCATTTATGTTATTTTTCTAGTGGTGCTAATTAACTTTCAAAACGTTAAAGCCAAACCTTACTGCTTGATAGCCCTTTCAAAAATGCTAAAGCTAAATGATGCAGTTGTTGCCAGACAGTTACAATGAACTCCATATCTCATTATTAAAGTCTTTACCTAAAACTACAACTAATAGATATGCTTGTAGGCATCCTTTTTGAATCATAAGGCTTGGAAATCTAGAATCTTTCATCTAATATGACAAGTACTTGCAGAGTACAGTTTCAGGGCTAAATAGAGGTCTAGCTGCTAGTGATGACGATCTAAGGAAAGCAGACGATGTTGCCAAAGCACTGGAAGCTGCTGGAGGGCCTGTAGATCTCCAAGCAGATGCTGATCTACTGCAAGGAAGATGGAAATTGATTTATAGCAGTGCTTTTTCATCTCGTACTCTGGGTGGAAGCCGCCCTGGTCCCCCAATAGGAAGACTTGCTCCCATAAATCTTGGTCAGGTAACCTTAATAAGTTAATTGACCTAATTCCAAAAATGCACAATTCGTATGATTCCCACCAAAATTTTCTTTTCATTGATGTTATTGCTGTACATGGATAATAAAAATATTTGAAGCCCTTTTTTGGAGTAGTCATATATGTTCACTTTTTGCCTTCTCTAGTGTTGTGATTGGGAAAATTTTCACATTTGTATTTTACATGTTAAAACAGGTTTTTCAAAGGATTGATGTCTTTAGTAGGGATTTTGATAACATAGTCGATCTCGAGTTGGGTGCCCCGTGGCCATTCCCACCCCTTCAAGTGACCGCGACTTTGGCTCACAAATTTGAACTTGTAGGTGAGTCAGTCCCTATCAAATTTGTCTTTGGATCATAGCCCGGTGCACGACAAATACTCCATTGTGTGCGGATCCGGAGGAGGGTCTCACCATAAAAGTGGATGACAATTGTTAATTACCAGCATTGTGTGGGTGTGTGTTTGCAGGAACATCTAAGATTAAGATTGCATTTGAGAAGACTAGAGTGAAGACAAGAGGAAGCCTATCATTACTACCAGCATTGGAGGTGCCCAAACTACCGGACGTGATCAGGCCAGCGTCCAATAGAGGCAGCGGCGAGTTTAATGTTGTATATGTCGATTCGGATATGCGTGTGACAAGGGGTGACAGGGGTGAGCTCCGGGTGTTTGTTATCTCATAGAATATTAGAATCTGGCAACAGTAAAGTGTATATATTGTACTCCGTGTAATGCAAGCCTGGAGAGTATTGACTATTTCTTTTCTTCAATTTCATTACTCCGGTCTATATATATATATATATATATATATATATATATATATATATATATATATATATATATATATATATATATATATAATCTTTTTGAAGGCTTATCTGAAGTTGAAATCGTTTTTAAGGCAATGGCTAAAATCAAGACAAGGATTTTACCTAGTCCTCTTTTTGATATGCAGCATTCCTGTGAACATGGAGTAGACTCTGGTCTCTAAGCGGCGCTATGGATTGGCAGCAGTCTCTTCCATCTGATAGACTTTAGCCCACCAACTATGGATATACGAAGAACGATAACAAGAATAATGCTAAACTTTCAAAAATATGATCTCAATATAACTTTATTAGGTTAATTCAACTTAGGTTGTAATGTAAGTTTACTTCCTATTTATAGTTTACATATTAAGACGTGCATGACATATAGTTGTGTCCAGATTTCTCACCACAATTGATCTGACGTGTATCAATTATGGCAGAGAAGTAGTCATCAATTATCCATGATCTGTGGGATTGATCGCTCCTACGCTAACTCATCCCTGCCCAGGCCCAATTCTTCATATGACTCTAGAATTGACCCAATATACACCAAATACATAGGGCGTCTGGTCCCTCTTCCCAAAGGTTGTGCAACGGTGCAAGTGGGTGTACCGGACAAATTACAACTCTGATGGCACTATAGAGTGATACAAATCTCGTTTTGTTGTGGATGGAAGTGTTCAGACCGAAGGGATGGATTACACAGAAAATTTTACCCCCGTAGCCTAAAATGGTGAGTGTTCAGGCTTTTTGGGTGTCGTTGTGGCTCAAAGATGGGAGCTTCATTAGTTTGATGTGCACACTACTTTTCTTCATGGCGATTTATCTCGGCCAAATCTTCGGCTAAGGTATGCTATCTTCAGATATCTCTCCATGATTTGCGATAGTCACCCTGAAACTGGTTTGCAAAACTCTGCTCTGCTCTCTTGAGTTATGGGTTTTTTAAATCTTGGGCTGACTATACGTTGTTCACTTTTCTCCAAGAGGGTGTTCCTAGCCCTCTTGGAGTATGTCTATGACATTATCCTTGTAGGAAATAACTCGATGGCATGTACACGAGTGAAGAGATTTCTTACCAAAAAGCTCCTCACTAAAGGAAGGTAAAGTATTCTCTAGGGATACAAATTGCGCGCCATCCTAGTGGTATATTTTTATGTCAAAGAAAATATACACTTGACATATTACAGGAGACAAGGCTACTCGGATGTAAGCCGGCGGCTTTTCCCATAGAGCAACATCATAAGATGGCCATGGACACCCCAAAACATACCCTAAAATTATTATTGAATTATTATTAAATTAATCAATTTTTTTTTATTAAAATAAATTATTGTTGGGTTTTGGGCCGAAATAAAATATGTTTTGATATCCAAATATCACAATCGGGATAAATCTCATAGAGATAAATCGAATATTATGACTATTTGTGTGATCTTGATTGGAGACCAAAGTACAAACTCAAATTAAAAATAAATACAGAATTTGATTTATGACGTGAACTTTGAAATGATTTATTGAAATAAATCATGAGAATAAATAATTTGAATAAAATATGAGAACCTTTTTAAATAAAGGTCAATAAAATCAATTTTGACTCTGTCAAAGTCAAACCCCCAAAAATATAATGTCTAAAAAAGTATTCCAAATAAATATGAAAATTTTATCGTTGGACAGAGTTTAAATACCCCATCGCAACAGTACAAACAGAATTTAATTCGGAGAAAATTGGATCAAAAAGTGTATTCCAACTAGAACCAAAATTAGTCACAATCATGGAGAAACGTAAAATATCGTAGAGCATCGCATCCCACCGCACTAGTGTCGATAGCATATCAACAATGACGCGCAAAAACTTGGCCCCTTCTCCTCTTTTTCTCCTATATAAAGACCACCTCAAATCCTTCAATTCTTCACCATTCTTCACAATTTTTTCTTCTATTCTGTTGCTCTGAGTGACGAGAACACAGTGGTGCTGTCAATTTGGAGTGAAGTTGCCAGAGTTGGGAGTAATCGTCGCAGGAAGTTTCGCTGGAAAATTTATAAAAGCTCCATTTAAGCCCGATGTAAACCCGTAGATATATTTAGTGATTAGAATGTTCGTATAAATCGTTTTTACATTCATAAACGGTCGTTTGATTGAGTTTTTTGTTTGACGTGTTTGAGGAACCAAGAATCATAAACCTTGAAGTTATTATTAAAACTACAAACTAATGATACCAAAATGATCTATGAACCTTAGAGAACATTTCTTTATAGTTTAATTGAAGTTTGGTGACTTAAAATGAAATTTCTGAAAACTAACCCAAGGTTGAAGATGACACTTTTAAAACTACGCGCAGCACGGTATCATGCTACCGCCCGGACGATATCTAGGTACCGCCGGCATGGTAGCCTATACCGTGGCAACGGTACACCTCCTACCTTCGGCCGCTGCTTCCCTAGGCAGTACATGCCTGCGATCGGTATCAAGGTACTGTGACACGATACCGAGGTACCGTAATGGGTACCGTCCAAAACCTGAAATTTTTCAAAAAAATCTGTTTTTTGAACTATTAAATCCTATTTTTGATATCAATCAATTATGATCAATATAAAATCGATTTCTAAAAATAAAAATGATGTTTTAATCATCCAAGAATCTTATGTGATGTATGACGTTAAGGTAGGGTGTTAACACCCAATGCTAGGCCGCTATTTGTTATTTAATATTATGATGATTATTATTGATGTTGTTTACGATCGGACTTTAATGAATATTCTGATTAAAATGATAATTATAAATGATTGAATCATTATTAAAAAAGAATATATTGATGATTATGAAAATAATGTTTATTGTTAAGGGTATCTAGAAAAACTCTAAGATATATCCATATTGATATTGTTTTGAAGGATATCTTGAAGAACTCTAAGATATACCTATGTGACCAATTCAAAAATCTGAGTTGAAACGTACATAAGGGATCTAAACCAAACTTGAGAATTTACTCGTTTGGAGATATCACCCACCCAACAGTAAATAAGTCCACTGTTTGGTTGGAGCGTAATCCATAAAACTCATAGGATGGATCATTGATTATTGTAGTTTGAATTGTAGAAATCATCCTAAATAGGACTAAAACATAGAGAAAAGTACCAAAATAGGACTTTCATGTTTTTTTCCCGGAATAGGACTTTGCACTGTGGTAATGTGACTTTACATTGTGGTAATGTGGCAGTGTACATGTGCAAATTACTATACTTTTTTGGTAATGTATATGACCATGTTTGATAATGTAAGTCCTATTTCGGGAATAAAAACATGGAAGTCCTATTTTGGTATATTTTCAATGTTTTAGTCCTAGTTTGGTCTTTCTCCCTTTGAATTAAACTAATTATAGTTTAAGAGTCTGGTAAAAAATATTGCCTTAGACTAGAAATAGTTTAAGAGTTTTGTTATCCAATGGCTTGGCCTTAGATTAAGAATAATTTAAAAGCACTGTTGAAATAATAAATATTAAATAGTGTATATATCATGAAATGACTCAAATTAAGATATTGTGAATATCATGAATGATGAATACTTGAATTGAATATTATGTGCATGATATCAAATGATTTGATTATGAATTGATAAGATTTAATATATATGGATGTTCGATGCATTAGATATCCTTACTTAGCTTCAACGTCGAGCGTGTAGTATATTTTATTTGCTACACACAGGTAAATAGAAAGAAAGATTTGACATGATCCTGGCAGCAGATGGAGGCGAGATTGTCGGGATGGATATGATAGTTTTGAATTAAAGGACATAAATTAATTATGTTTTGTGATTGTGATTTGTTAAGCTACTGCAACATTGAAAAACTTTGCAGTGTTACTGTTATGAATATTATTATTATTATTATGATAAAGTATTTAAAATGTTTTAAATTTTACAGTTATCAAGTTAATACTTTAGCCCGTCAGGGGCTACAGACCTGGACGGATTAGGATGTTACAAGCTAACGATATGCAGAACTGGATCGGTATAGACGTCTTGTTGGAAAGCTAGTTTATCTCACTATTACCCGTCTAGATATTTCATATGCAGTCTATGTCTATTCACAGTTCATAAAAGCACCTGCAGAGGTACAATATGAGGGAGTGCTACGTGTGGTGCGGTACCTAAAAGGATCGCTAGGACAGGGGGTGTTGCTGAGCTCACCTTTTCCACTCTAGTTGAATGCATACCGCGATCTAATTAGGCCAAATGTTCACTCACACGAGGTTCATTGACGGACTACTTTGTTTTCTTGGATGAATCACCAATTTCTTAGTGTAACAGAAAATAAAGTATTGTGTCTCGTTCTGAAGCAGAAGCTAAGTATAGGGCCATGGCAGTTACTACGATTGCGTTTCTTTGGTTCGATTTCTTCCTATGGTCGTTAGGGATACAACGTAAGGGCCCTATGAATTTATTTTGTGATAATCTAGCAGCCCTACATATTGCAGCTAATCCCGTGCTTCATATATGAACGAACCAAATATATTGAAGTTGGTTGTCATTTTGTACGAGAGAAGATCGTGGATGGATCAATTAAGGTCACACATGTAGCGGCACATTAACGTTGGTTGTAATATTCACAAAGGTACTTGGGAAGCACCCATTGGCGTTTCATTTATGCAAGTGAGAGAACAATATAGAATCTTCTTTATTTATATCTTTATTTATTTCCTTATTTTGATTTCCTACTATGACTAGGAACCTTGTGTACATGTATTACATTATATGTTCCATCTCAATAAAAGTCAGAATATTACTTTCAAAATTTTCACAGTATTTACTATACAAAAATTAAAATTTAGAAACAATATCAAGAGACACGCAAGTTTTCCCTCAACAAATTAGGGGTGGACGCGGTCCGTGACAGTCCGCGATATCACCGGAACCTATCACAGACTGTTGTTATTTAAACGGTTCGGTA